CAAGCAGGGGATTGAGGTGGATCGCGCGAAGATGAAGACGATCAGTAAGCTACATCCTCCCATTTCTGTGAAGGGGATCCGTAGCTTTTTGGGTCATGAAAGCTTCTATCGGCATTTTATTAAAGATTTTTCGAAGATTGCTCTACCTCTGACCAAGCTACTGGCGAAGGATGCACCATTTCATTTCACTCTGGAGTGCACAGCTGCATTCGACACCTTGAAGGATAAGCTTACACATGCACCCATCATGGTAACTCCTGATTGGTCTCTTCCCTTTGACCTGATGTGCGATGCGAGTGTTTTTGCAGTCGGAGCTGTTCTGGGTCAGAGACGCGAGAAACATTTCCAGCCCATTTACTACGCGTCGAAGACCCTAAACGATGCACAGGAGAAATACACCACCACCAAGAAGGAGCTGCTCGCTGTGGTGTATGCATTTGAAAATTTTCGACCTTATCCGGTGCTCTCCCATGTGGTGGTCTACACAGACCACTCTGCGATTCGCTATCTGATGAGCAAGGCTGATGCAAAGCCTAGGCTCATCCGCTAGATCCTTCTTCTTCGGAAATTTGATATCAAGATCCGGGACAAGAAGGGAGCCAAAAATGTTGCTGCAGATCATCTTTCACAGTTGGAAGCCCCTCCGGTGGACAACCTCGTGGAAGATATTAATGACTCCTTCCCGGGTGAGCGATTGTTGGTGATGACCTTGGCAGAGAGCGTCGCCCCTTGGTATTTTGACTTTGCCAACTATCTGGTAGGCAAACAGTTGTCTAAGGGGGTGGCCACTCATTCCAAGCGCAAGTTCTTCTCTAATCTGAAGCATTACTTCTTGGAGGATCCTTACCTCTTCAGGATCGGAGCAGATGGCGTGATCCGGCGCTGCGTTATGGAGCACAAGATGGGAGACATCCTATCTCAATGCCACGAGGGACCTACCGATGGTCAACATGGAGGAAACTGGACGGCGCGGAAGGTGCTACAGTTGGGCTTCTACTAGCCTTCACTCTTCAAAGATGCAGATACCTTCGCACGATAGTGCGATCGCTGCCAGAGGTCAGGTAACATTTCTTCCAGGGATGAGATGCCCCAACATATATCTATCGTTTGTGAAATTTTTTATGTTTGGGCCATCGATTTCATGGGGCCATTCCCTCCATCTTTTGGTAATCTATATATACTGGTTGTAGTGGATTACGTCTCGAGGTGGGCAGAAGCTCAAGCCATGCCCACCAATGATGCAAGACGTGTCTGCTCATTTCTAAAGCAGCTGTTCTCCCGGTTCGGGACACCTCGAGCCATTATTAGTGATAGAGGAACCCATTTTCAAGGGCAATTCTCTAACTACTCTCTCACTATGATGTTTCACATAAGGTGTCGGTGGCGTACCATCCCCAAATAAATGGTCAAGTCGAGCTGACCAACCGGGAACTTAAACGAATACTTGAAAATACAGTGGATCAATCTCAAAAGGATTGGTCCTCCAAGCTCCATGATGCTCTCTGGGCATACAGGACAGCCTAGAAGACCCTGATTGGTACTTCACCATATCGCTTGTCTATGGAAAGGCTTGTTATTTGCCGGTTGAGCTAGAGCACAAGGCCTTCTGGGCCCTTAAGTTGTTGAATCTGGATTTGGGTGTTGTAGGTACTGAACGTAAGTGGTCGCTGTTGAAGTTGGAGGAATGTCGTTACCACGCCTATGAGAATACTCGGCTCTACAAGGAGCGAACTAAGCTTCTCCATGACGCTCGGTTGAAGGGCCCGAAAGAGTTTCAAGTTGGTGATTGTGTTTTGCTTTATAATTCACGCCTGAAACTCTTTCCGTGCAAGCTGCGATCAAGGTGGTCGGGACCATTCACGATCACCCAAGTATTCTCGCATGGTGCGGTAGAGATCAGCAATGCTCAAACTGAGCAGTTTAAGGTGAACGACCACCTCCTCAAGCTGTATCTGGGGGGTGATGTGGATCCCGCAGAGCTGTTGATCAAGCTCGAGGACCCTTAGTCCCTCTATAGGTGTCCAGCTAAAAGAAGATAAAGAAGAGCTTGTTGGGAGGAAAACCCACCACGGTTTGCATTTTCTTTCCTTTTTCCTTTTCGATTTTGTCGTTTTTTGAGTCTCTGAGTCTGTCTGGAATGTATTCCGTGCCCTGGGTGGTTAGTTTTTGTATGTGGTTGTGTGTTTTTCGAGTTGGAGCACGAATGGGGTTGGATGTTTGAAATTGCGGTTTGAAGTTTTTGATAGGGGAGGCTCGGACTTAAAAGAACGGGCACAAGGGAGAAAAGCACGGTCGTGTTTTTTCCCCTCTTGCCCGTGTTTCACTGCCTCTCCCAAACCTGCTCTCGCACATGTATTTAAACAAACAAGTGAAGTATATCATTTTTAAAAGATGACTCACACACATAAATATTGAATTACACACCATCGACAAACAATGAAATTAGAAGGGTTGTTGTCAAACATCACTAATAAGTGAAAGTGAGGATAAGTGAGAGGTTGAAGGAGAAGAACTTTGGTGGCAGTGTAGTAAGAGGGGAGGGGTGGGGTGGGGTGTAAGTTGTAGGGATGGGGAGCATTGGTGCATCAAGTTATGGCCAAGTTGTTGTAGCAAGGAGAGTGGAAAGAAGCGATGATGAATTAGAGATGAGGGATTCGTAGAAAGGAAGTCTAAAAAAGCGATTTAAAAGCTAGCTTGTAAGAATTTTACTGGCCGTAAGCACTTTTGCTTAGACTTCTGGTGCAAAACACTTTTAGAATAAAAGCTATTATTTGTTTGAATATTTATTGATTGTCGCAATTGGTTGTTTGGTATTCTGTGATTCTGTATCTCGAACTTCTATCTATGACAAAAAAAAAACTTCTGCCACCTAAAACCTCGTGAAAGTGGTCTATTTTATTTTATTTTTCATTAATAATTAATGTTATTATAGTCATTTTATATCTGTCATGTCTGAATATAACTCGTAGTAGAGAAGGCAAACAGAGTTTATTGGAATAGGATTACTAGATTAAGAAACATGGGAAGTTAGAGATTGGGAAGGTTTAGGGTATAATCTTGGTTATTCATTTGTGCATAATTAGATTTGGCCCATTGATATATTGAGTAAGTTTAGATTTAAAGAGTGAGATTTTTTTTTTCTTCTTTTTTAATCGATTTGTGCATTTTTTTTTTGTTTTAAAATGAATTTTAAATTCTTTTGCAAAAATGGAGCAAGTTCTATGTGATAAACAAAATGATATCTTCTATATGTTTTGTGAAAAAAATCCATACAACACTGAGACCATCTGGTACCACTCTATACCAACTTCATTTAAAAATCTCATTTAAAACAAATTTGTATGGGAGGAACGAGTTCATCCTGATCTATTGTGTTCTACAAATTTTCAGAAACATAGAACCCTGTTATAGGGTTGTTAGTTGTAACTTGTGGTAGACAATGATGAATGGTGGTTAATATATTCCTATTGTCATGTATACAATCATTCTACACTATGATTTATTCACACCACCACGGTACACTCAATACCATCGTGATATAATATTACCACCATGATGTAAAATGGCAATATATATCTCAATTTTTTGTTCTGAAATATATCAAAGTGGTTGTTATTTTCAATATGTTATATGGTCAGGTACGAATTCGATTAAGAAAGTTATACGTGGTGAGTAACAAATTAGATTACCGACTGAATTTGATCTGCAGCTATTTAAGATACAAATTTAATATATATTTAAAATATAGTGTGACCTATTGGTAATACCATTAATTTTTAACTAGAAGGTGTCAGACTCGAATAACATCTCTTAAAAAACATATATATCACCAGTAGCGGATCCAGGGGGTGGCCAACCCGGGCCACGGCCCAGCCCTCCTCTGGATCCGGAACTAGTATAGTCTTTGTGCGTTTATCGATTTTACTCATTCGGTCCAGTGTCATTTTATAATAAAATTGTGTGTAATTAGAAAAATGGGTAAGATACATATTAAAATCATAACTCTAAATTTAGTCTAGAAATTCTAGCTTAAATGAGTCTCGTCTAAAGAAAAACAAACAATGAAACCTAAAATTCTAAAAATCTAAAACGTAAAAGGCTAATAGAGAATATGAGATTTGTTCACTTGAAAAATCACTAGAGCAGGTGGTGAAAATATGGATGGATACACAATACAAATTGGTTAGTCGATTGATTTGTCTAGTGTTGACATTGTCCGTTTCAACAGCTACTATGGAGAGAACCTTTTCAACAATGGAACAGGTGAAAAATGATTTGCGCAACAAAATGAGCGATGAATTTCTCGCCGATTGGTTAACTATTTTATTTGAAAAAGAGTAGTATGCGATTAGAATGGATGTAGACTCTTTTATTGATGAATTCACTATATTAAAAGATCACGTGTACAATTAATATTGTAAAAAAATTATGATTTTTTGCGATATCTAGTTTTCTAATGAATTGCGGCCCAGTGCGCTACTATGTTCTGGATCCGCCGCGGTATATCACCTATATAAAAGAACAGGGCAGGATTAGCTCTTCTTTAGTAAAGGCTCCTTACACGTTAAGTAGTGTCCCATTTAGTTTACTTCTGGTTCTGGACGACACGCCAACGCGGAAATAGAAATAAATAAATGAAATCAGTGTGTGAAACAGAATAGCAACAGTATAAAATTCTATATGGGAATAGCAGTGGCATGCAAGGAGCAGAATCCAAGGGAAAGGACGCGTATTTCACTTTCACAACCAACGTCACAAAAGCAGTGGATCGCGGAAGCCAAAGGAAGCAAGGAAATCGCCAAGAAACCTGGGCCTCATTGCCCAATCATTTCGGCTTAAGCAAAAAAAAAAAAACATTTTAAAATAATAATAGGAAAAAAAAAAGAGAGAGAGATCACCCCGTAGCCCCTTTGATTTGGTATTTAATAAGTTAGATTTTCTTGACTACGTTGCGGGTAAGTAAACTGCACTGCCCCTCGCACCATTCTTATTCGAATTACTCCACCTCAATCACTTGCTCCGTCGCACCATCATCATGATGAGAAGGCAACCACCGGCCGTACTGGTCAGGCATAATAATTCAGGCCGCCTTCTCCGGCAGCAGCAAGTCGGTCGACCATCTTACGATTCTGTCCATCATAATAAGAAGTTGAGTACTCTTATTTCTCCATCTCCCGACCTTGTTTCACACAACCATCCAGTCGCAGCTCCTCCAGCCCAAGACAAACATACACCTGATCGTGATCCGACCATCGCGGCCACCGCCGGCGACTCTGTCCTGGTCAGTACACATATATTATATATATTCATCACCTCGCCGCACCACTTACGTGTGTATATATATATATATATATATTATATAGCAGTACATCACATTATTATTATTATTATTAAATACACTACCGATCGAGCTAGGTCAAGTAATGATCAAACTGATCATTGACTGCTTAATTTGATTTCAGAGCAATCTTGGAGTACTAGTATTAGATTGCAGCAGTGCCACGGACGAAAGGAGCTTGCCCGTCTCAGTTTGTCCTCGGTGTGTAGATGTGCACGTTAATTTGAAGTGCAGCACTGCAGCAGAAGAAGAAGCATGGGGCAGCATTAGTATTACTACCTCTCTGTCCTCCTCCACTTCCGGGACACTTCATGGTGCGCGCGATAAACAATTACTGTTCAGAACTACGCACACAAATTAGATTTTTGATTTTTTTCAACCACGCTGTGAATCTGTGTTCTACTACTACTAGCTAGGTATCTGGATACACAATTAGCTAGCGAGTGTCGCGCATGGAAATTATTGGAATAGTACTGTTGATTAATTGTGGTGAGTGCAGGGTGGTGGTGGCGGGAGGAAGAGAAAGCGTTCCCACCCAAGAAGCGAAGGCGGAGCTTGGACTACTTCTACCTGTGCAGCAGCAGCTTAATAAAAATTGATGATAGCTACGCTGAGGAAACCAGTAGTGGCAGTAGTAGTACTGCTTTATTCACGACAAAGAAAGGCGGCGGAGAGCGGAAGAGGAAAATGGTGACGATGAGCGCTCTACTCCGACGGACTTCCCCGGCCGGCGGCCCCGTTTAGCTAGATGCAATATCACTAATTAAGTATAATATATCGTACTATCAGTACGTACTACTAGTTAGCTACTTCTTTAGGGTTCAAATTGTCGCTCGGCATCATCAGCATGCCTGTAATTATAAAGCTGCATATCTTCATCACTGCGCTTTGTATATATGTAAGTACTCGCAGTACTGGAGAGAATGCAAACGGACTGTTAGATGACCTATAATAATAATAATTTATTTATTAGAGTTTCTACTGTATTTATCTAACTGATCAAGACTCGATTGAGGCGCCTCTGGGGAATGCGATTGGGATTGGAGAATTTACTTGCAAACGAATAAGGGTCGGGACAAGATATGATGACATGGCACAGTCCAATTAATAGAATAAACATTTGTCACCTATACAGGCTCGCAAAAAGTTCAGCCACGAAAAAACGAGTTCGTTGCAGAAAGAAAGGAATTCATTGCAGAAGGTCAACGATTCTGCGACGAAGATGTCGTCACAAAGTTATCTTTTGGCGACAACAAAGGCTCCATTGTTGCAGCAAAGATAATTTTTGCGACGCATTATTTCGTCCCAAAAGGTTACTAGCTTTTAGCAACATAAGCATTTTTAGAGTTATTCACAATTCATTTGTTCATGTTAGTTCACAATTTGTTCAGGTATTTTTTACAAATGATTTATTCTTATTTACTTTTTGAGTTTTCCTTCATTTTAGTTCATATTTTATTCTTGTTGTTTTTGAAATTATTTACGATTTATTTTCTTGTCTAAATCAAATCATCGTCTCCTCGCGTCAAATTGTAAATACCAGATTCGCCCATAAGAAGCCGCAGTGAGTTTTGCCCCTCACCGTCACGAGTATCAAAGCCGTGACTTCACCCACCATCGTCGCGGTTCAAAAGCCCCAACCAAGAGAAAGGGCAAATCGAAAACCCAAAAAAGAAAAGGAGTACTATCGAGGGAGAGAGCGCAGATTGAGAGTAGATATAGGGAATCGGTGTGAGAAGAGAGCAGATCGACAGTAGATGAATATTGGTGAAGAGCTGTGCTAAACAAGATCAGATTTTGAAGAGAAGAGAAAAAAATGTGAGAAGAAGTGGATTGGGAAAGTGAATGCGACTAGGGTTTCTTTACAAACTTAGTTTATATACAAGCAATTTTGTTTTTACTTTTTTCCCAATAAAGTTCCTGATATCTACAACAAATTGCCACCGTGTTTTTGTGGATTTACCAACATAACCCTTTCCATCTTATAGAAAATAGACACTCGATATTGGACTAGGTTTCGAACCATCGCCCATTATCTTACAAGTGAAATATTACCAAACATATTGACCAATTAGGCTAATTTTATAACTTGTTAAATAGATTTGGGCTAGCATATTAATTAATATATTTTCTTTATTACCATTAATATGTATTTCACTTTATTTTTTGGTGTTTTGATATAATTATTAGTTATAAGTGTTCGTATAGGATTAGGAGACATGTTAGTTCTTGTTTAGTATTTAAGTCATGTTCTTATCTTCTATATCTATCTATCTGTCTTCTATCTATCTATCTATACTAAATATTATGGTTATTCAAAAATAACTTCTTACCACATAAGCACATAGTGAATACACAAGTTGCCAAGGTGGACAATTTTTTTTCAAACAAAAAACTATTTATTGATCTATTTATTAAGTTGTCTCTCTCTTCTTTTAATAATTCTACTCATTTTTACTAAAATTAAAATAAGTTAAATTTTTAGGAAACATTTAAACAAAAAACACACACCTAAGTAATAAAAAAAATTCGATTAAACAAACTATAAAGATGGAAATAGAGAGTGACATATATTATATTTGTTTAACCCGAACTGATTAAATCTGATTAAGTAATTTTCTACTCATTTTTACTAAAACTTAATAATAAGTTACATTTTGATGAAGAAAAAAAACAAGCACACACATAAATATTAATATTTTTCAATATAAAATATAAACGATGATCTAAGAGAAAATAAACGTTTGACAATCAATCGACTTTGAGAAATGAACGATATGACCATATGTTTTTTGCTATCAAACACTCACTTCTTTCTTATGTATATGCCTATCAAATAAAACAAGTATAAATTATATAGCAAAATGTCTGAATATAAACTTGACAGAGCAATAATTGTTATTTTTTTAAAAACTTCTTATTCATTTCGATTAAATGAAAACATATTAATTATTAATGCAAACTTTTAATTTGTTTCTATCCCTTTCTCCATTTTGATTGTCTCTCTAGAAATAAAATCCAACGTTGAAAATAAGAAATTAAGAAAGTATGTCAACCACCATAGAAATAAACAAAGCCCTCTTATTAGTTGCTAAATTTTTTGAGATTTCTAATATTTGTATTCTCATAATTTATAGAGAAGGAAGTGGTAATGCATATGATTTTTTTTCTTTGTATGAGAATAGGAGGCAGAAATTACACAAGACAACGATAAGATGACAAAATTTTGAGCAGTTGTAACATATTTTTGCCTGTTGACGAAAAAAGTTAATCTGATCATTGTGAAGATGAGGTGAACCAAGCTGAGGGTTGTCGACTGCTCCCTCTTCCTCCTTGATCTGAAGCTGGCAACTGGTCTCACTTTCTTAGCGATATGTTATTGTTTGCGGTTGACTTGCCCAGTTATACTCTTTTTCCCATTCTTTTCTTAATTTCTTCCAAATTACGACTGCTGGATGTTAAATTTTCCCACTCTCGATGAGTGAATATATTTCTTTTTTGTTTTTTTACTGAGAAGGGTCGCCATATACTTTGATGTATATAAAATATAATTAGAAGGGTTAATTGGTTGGACTTAGGGCATACCTCATTTGGTTGAATAATTGATCGTTTTTCTTGAATGCCTATTGCAACTCGATTTCTTGAATATTGAAATGGAAAGTAGAGTTGTGATGATTGTTTATTATATGGTGGTTTCTCGGTTGTCTATTTCGATGTTTTTTTAATTTCTACATGTTTGCGGTGACATTTGTTTGTTTCATTAAGGTGAATTTTTCTGCATTGAATCCCTAACTAAAGATTGATTTTGACATGATTGTTTTCTTACAAACTACTAATTGGATTGATGCATATATTCAGTTCACAAATGAGGAATCTGAATGATAAAATGAGTTGAGTTGTATTGAAGACTGCTCCTTTCATTATTTGTCTATGTTGTTATTAGGTAATAAAGCACAATTCTTTTCTGCAGGAGATATGTAGCTCTCTACAAAATATAAATTGTGTTCAATTATATGCAGTTTAATTTGATGAAAATATTGCTTTAATAAGTTAGTGACAGCTGATAGTTTTCTTTGTGGTTGGTTTTGCTGGAACATTTCAAGGTAATTAAACAAGTACGTGGAAGATTGATGGACGTGGATGCTAATGAGTTTCCTCATTATTCCAAAATTGTATGTGTAAGTGATAATACACGATATTCATGGGATTTAGATCGGAATATTCTCTATTATCATATACCGACATATGAGAAGGGAGAGAAAATAAAAATCGCTTCGCTTATTTTTTATTAATTGAAGCATATTTTCTTATTCTAACTTCTTTTTTTGTGGACGTAAGTTTTTTAACTTCTTTATCACAATTTTGTGCTAAAGAATGAATAATCTCTTATGTTTATAATCTTAAAGGGCGAGTTCGATAAAAAAAATTCTAAATCAATAAAGAACCGTCTACAAAGAGCTCAGTCAATAAAATTAAAATATTCATAAATAAACAAAAGGTATAAAAGTATGAAATAAGGTAAGTGAGATTTACAATTCCATGTATATTACCTTGCAAACATAAATAATAATAACAATTAGAATACTCTAACGAATTATAAAACAACCAAACAAAATACACCGCCCAACGGGCGGCATAAAAAACTAGTAAGGAAATAAAAAGGAATTCCAATAGAAGAACGAAGCTTTTGTTACCCGGGAAAATCGTATCTGGTAGTGTTGAGGAGTGCGAGTGTGCGACCTATTACTCTTGATTCCAGCTAAGGTTTATATTTTTGTGTTGGTGCTCAATTTCTTGATAGCTAAATTACACGTTTGGTCACTCAACATAAATCTTTCACGTTTGCCACCCAAATTACTTTTCTTTCACATTCGCCACTAACTTTACCATTCGTTTCACCGTTAGTCATCGGTCTTTAGTCTCCGTTACCTCCGTCAGTTTTTTGAGGATGTGGCAAACGAAACAGGAGTCAGGAGGTTGTTAACGGTAGTGTGGGAATCAGGAGTCGAGAGTCTCGAATTGGGGATTACGGTCTGTGGATCTGGGAGGTTGAGAAATTTTGGAATGTATTATTATTGGTCGGGGGAAGAAGAAGGCGTTGTGGAGGAATTGCAGTCGCCACCTTTGCCATTTTTGTCGTTGCGTTGAAGCTTCCACCTTGGTTCTATTGCATCGGAGGAGTGGCGGTGGCAAGAGGGTTGTCGCCGCCGAATGTGTCTGCCTGATTCCAAATCGAAATTCATTGGTAGGTCATAGGTGTTAATGTTGTTAGGTGGGTCATACGTCGGGCTTTATTTTTGTCAAATATTTTTTTGTCAAATTGACATGTCATTATTTAACGGCCCAGTCAGTTGTTCCGTTAGCCACGTCATCAAAAAACTGACGGAGGTAAAGGAGACTAATGGTTGATGACTAACGGTGAAACGAATCGTAAAGTTAGTGGCGAATGTGAAAGAAAACTAATTTGGGTGGCAAACGTGAAAGATTTATGTAATTTGAGTGACCAAACATGTAATTTAGCCTCTTCTTGATTGTTCATAACTCTGATGGCAGAGTTGCTTCTTGCATCTGCAGGTCGAAGTTGAGGTAAAAGCACCTCCTATCATGCCTTGAAGTTACTATAACTTGACCTTTTTGACCTGCTATAGCAGGTTTTATAGGTCTCCTATCATGCCTTGAAGTTACTATAACTTGACCTTTTTGACCTGCTATAGCAGGTTTTATAGGTCGCATTACGTAAAACTATTGCTTCATGTGAGATTTGAACCATGACCACTTTAAGTGCAATGGATATTCCTGCAAAAACAACCCTATATGGAAATGACGCTATAAAAACTTTTGAAAAAATATTAAATGTTTTAACCTATGAATTTCTAGGAAGATATCCAAGGGAAAAAGAAACTAATGCAACTCTGAGTAATCAGGCTATTTGGCACCTAACAAACTTGAGGATCTGCAATATGTGTTATTTAGAATCATTTATTTGCGAATTTAAGATACATTATTATCAGGTTATTCCGTCAGTAAGAAAAGACTTAGATAAATTATGCTTTTCTAAACTTCCTTTAATAGTAGCACAAAAAGTAGAAACTGCTTTTAATGAAGCAGTTCAAAAGGAAGAAGTACCAGAT